GAACTCTATAGTTTTAGATCCAGTTCTCTCCCTTTTTAAAAAAATCTTTTTTGATGTCTAAAAAGCTTATCAGACTTAATGTAAACGGAAACTCTTCCATATCTCCTCCCTATCTGTCCCCCTGCCCTTCATACACTCAGCTGGCCTCACCCATGATCTGGCTCATTTCCATTTCAGTACATCAAAATCTCAAGCTTTGGGCTGGGGCTGGGGCTCAGTGGTAGAGCACTTGCCTAGCACGTGTGAGGCACTGGGTTTGATCCTCAGCACCATTTAAAACAAATAAATAAAATAAAGTTATTGTGTCCATCTACAACTAAAAATATTAAAAAAGAAAAACAGAAACAAAAAATAAACCCTAAGCTTTGAACTGCTCAGATAAAAAACCTTGGAGCCATTGGTTCACTTTGAATCTGTTAGCAAACCCTATCAGTTCTACTTTTAAAACATACCTATGCTGACCTGCTTCTAAAAACACCTCTTCTCCTCTCCACTGCTGTCATCTTGGTTTGATCACCACTATCTTTCACCTGGAAGATCACTGCCATAGTCTTCCAATGGATCCTTCTGTTTCTGTCCTTGCCTATAACCCTTCTTCTCCCAGGGGTCTGTTTATTCAGTGTAGCAGCCAAAGTGATTCAGATTAGGGTTTTCTTCTGCCTCAAACCCTCAAAATAGCTTACTATAGAGTAAAAGTCAATGTCAGTACAATGGTCTTCAAGATTTAACCCCTTGGATTAAGCATCTGACCTCATCTATCAGTCTTCTTTGCTTACTCATCTACATTAGCCTGCCTACTGCTTCAAAAGTCAAGGATTCTCCTCCCCCTGGGTCTTCACCCTTAGAGACTGTTTCCTGGTATGCTCCTCCCTAGATATCCTCACAACTCACTCCTACTCTTCCTGTTGTTTTTTCCTCCAATGTTACCATCTCATTAAGGATGTCCACAAACACTCCAAATTTCAGGTTATCTTGATTAGACCCTGGCACTCTCCAGTCTCCTTCCCATGCCTAGCTTTTCATTATTGCTTATATCATCATCTGACATATTTTACATTTTACTTATTAATCAGATTGCATACCCCAAATGATATTGAAGGAATGGAATAAAAGGATGAGGAAACTTTCTTGTGTGTTAGAACTTGTCTCCTGGGGCTGGGGATATAGCTCAGGATTCTAATCCCCAACACCATACACACACACACACACACACACACACACACACACACACACACACACACAGAACTTGTCTCCTTACCACTCTCTGAAACTTAACCTTTCATTTCTTTATCTTTGTCAGATTTAAAAATGAGAGACAGCAATCTAAAGAAGTACTAAATGAGGAGGGAAATTCAAGGAGCAATGAAACCTTAAAGAAGCAAGTCAGGAGGCAGAGCGACAGGATAGAGGAAGAATGCCTGGCAAATTAAAAGGGTCACAGATACAAAAGGGAGGATGGGGGAGAGAAGGAAGATGAGAAGAGAATTCTGGGGATGTTCCTTTTGAATAGGTAGTTGGTTCACTTCAATTACAAAGACTGCCAGATACACCTTGAGGCCTTAATACCCATCCAGACCTCTGTTGTTTCATATTCATCATTGCAAATCTTTGGGGCTTTTAGTGTTTCTTACATTTTGAAACACACATGGAAGCTCAAGATGATCTGTCTGGCACCGTGGTGCATGGTTGTAATCCTAGTAGCTCCGGAGGCTGAGGCAGGAGGATAGCAAGTTGAAAGTCAGTTTCAGCAGCTTAGTGAGGCCCTAAGCAACCTAGTGAGACCCTGTCTCTAAATAAAATACAAAAACAGAATAGGGATGTTGCTCAGTGGTTAAGCGTCCCTAGGTTCAATACCTGATTACAAAAAAAAAAAAATCTGTGAAGGAAGGAACTGAAAAGGAGGCACACTTATGTATAAAGCCCTTCCACTTTCTAGTTAATTTACAGCGATCTTCCTGGATAAAGGATATTTTTGAGTATGACCTGTACAATAACTGTGTGGTTGTACAGGTCAAAAATATAGCAGTGCTTAAGCAATCATTGCCATAAAGGATCGAAGTTCAGAAATTCTGGTAACAGTATAGACTGTCTTGATCCTTTGCGCAACAAAGATTGTTGTCTATGAAAGACAGACAACAATGCCACAATCATAAGAGTCAACACAAAGGGAATCAATCACTCCAGCTCCCTCATTTCTTTTCTCTCCCTCCAGTCCCCCTCCTCTTCCTCCTTCTTGTTTTTCAGGGCTAAGGATTGAGCCCAGGGCCTTGAGCATGCTACACAAGTGCTCTACCACTGAGCTGCTCCCCCAGCTCCAGTCCTAGATCCCTCATTTCTTGAGTACAGAAAGGTATTATATCTCCCACTGGCCAGAAAGGCTATGGAAGTAAAAAACTACAAGCACTGTGAAACTTCTTGTTAAATAAGTTTTCTGACACATGGCAACCAGTGATTAATTACTGTGTTAGAAGATAACATTTCTATAGAGATTTGCTGGAAATACAGATGCCGTCCATGCTTGATTAGACATTGCTTAAGGAATGCTGAGGCACACTGCTGCAGTCTATTATTTCTGGCTATTTTGGTACTGCTGTTAAATTTATTTTACATAGCTTCAAATTTGGTAGAATTGATGGAGCCCATTTCACAAAACCTGTCCCTACCAAAAGCAAGATGGGAAAAAAAGTAAGGCTATAAAGTGTGTCTCTATGAGAGTAAGAGAAAATGAGAGAAAGAGATGATGAATTATTACATTATTAGTTTTTGTAATGCTTTCTGCTCTAAAAGAAAGAAGTGTAAGGGGGGTGCTTTGTTTTTTATCAGCTTATAAGGAAACTGACCATATCAGCTGGTTAAAATAAAACCTTCAGAGTATTAAAGATAAACTAAGCTGTCATTATCCAAGCCCTGCATCAACAGCAAAACATACCTCCATGTGATATTTAGTCATTTAGTCAAGACACACAGTGATCACCTACCCTGGTCCAGGCACTGAAGAAACAGTATTGGCCTCCTGGACATAATCTGCAATGTGTTCATGCTAACCTACTTCTTTTACAATCCATTTAAGAATAAGGAGAAAGAGTAGAAGAAACTCTCCCAGGTGGTCACTTCAGCTTTTACCTACTTCCTTGGACATAATTCACAAGTCCAACTGTGAAATACGTGAGTTGGGTGCCCTCTGATTATGTCCTGAACAGACGCTTCGTTGGAACACAGCCACTCATGCCAACCTTAATACTGCCCCGTCAGCACTGCATGATTCAGACACCAGTGTTTTCAGCACGCGTTTGGGCCCCACACTGTCTGCCAAGAACTGTGTTAATTTACTTATTTCAGCTAAATAAAAAAAATCATTTAAAAAAGGATGATTGAATTTAGGAATTATATTCCTCAGAGAATTAGTAATGGTTCTCTGTATCCCTCAGGCCTCCATGTTCTTAACTTCCCCTTGTCAATGTTATTATGAATAGACTAATTCAATAATGAGATCATTTCCCATAAGAGCAGCCAAATAAATGCAGCATTCAGTCACACCTGGTTTCCCTAATCTGAGCAAGGAAGGCTTTCCACCAAATTTACCTAGAACAGGGAGTTTAATACACACACACACACACACACACACACTTACATACTCTCTTTCCTGGCAAATAAGAGGAAAAAGACAGGGAAGGAGGAGGAGAGAGAAGCATAGGAATGGATGGCAATGCAGTAAATGAAATAAAAGGAGTAATAAGGGCAGAAAGGTTAAAAATGAACATGTGTGGTTCATTTTCAAAACAAAGATAATAGAAAATATGTCTTCATAATTGTCAAAGTAACATAATGTTTTATGATCCCCTTAAATAACTCAATAATTGTTTTAATTTATCCTGAATTTTTCAAGGAATCAAAAATCAAATGAAAAGAAACAGAAGTAATAGTCAGGAACATTCTGGACTATTAAAAATAAGTAACTTCTAACCATAATGGCTTTTGGAAAATGAAGGAGTTTATGGAATGATCCACCTAGGTATAAATAGCAACAGAGCATGGGGGGTACCTTAATTATCATCCATCTGCTTCAATACTGCTTCAACTTTCATTAAAGTACCAAAGGTTTGATTGTTTAAGATACAGTGTTAAGACCAAATGAAAAGAAAATTAACTCTCAAATTTAAAAGTGTATCTTATAAGAAAAGTATCAAAAAAAAAAATTGAGATCAGCAAACCTGAAGAGAAAGGCCAGTGGTGAATAACTATTATTCTCTGGTGGAAACAAGAGGAGATGAGTTTCAGTTGCACCAAGACAGAAGAGATAAAGAAATAGGTTCTTATAAAGATACATTTGATAGTTGTAATTTACTATGAGAGAAAGGAGGTAAAAAATTCAAATGTCCAAATAATCGCACACTAATTAAAAAAGAAATCATGATTTTTTATACTATGAAATATTTGTTTAGGTATTATGTTTTCAAGAAGTATTAATGAATGTTGAAAAGATTATAGTATCAAAGAACATTATTGATATGGAAAAGTGCAAATAAATTAACATAAAATTATATTAACATAGCTCTGATTTTGCAAAAAGAGAAATAACATGCAGTTATGTGTGTGAAAAGTTGTATATGCATACAGCATGTGCAACAAAAGCCAAGAGGGGGTGCACCAAGGATTGTGGCCCCTGGATCAGAAATTTGTGACAAATGTTGATATTCTTCTTTGCATATTAGCTTATTTATTTTATGCAATGAGCATATGTGACTTTTATTTAAAAAAAATAAGTTGCTAAAGATTTATAGTAAGAACTTAGGTTAGACAGGAAAAATGACCTGTCCAAGGAATGTTAAACATTAAACAAAATTGTGGAATTGTTTTCTTGATCAGCTAAGAACATCTATCTTCCCTTCCCCATTTTTAACAAAACCATTTTACATATCGAGAATCCATTTAAAAGGTTATTTTCCAGGTAGTGAGCCTTGGCTTTGGTACAAGAAGTTGATTCCAATCTTCCCTCCTACCTTGCAAAATCCAGGTCTGCCTCCCGGGACATGGTGATATTGGTCAGATTCTGCTGAAGAACAAAAATGTTCCTGCACATTTTCTTGATGCCAGACTCACTGATACGCCTGAAGTACTGGGCTCCATTAATGAGAATGCAGGAAATGAGGTGTCCCAGGCCTGGGGGTCAGCAGGGCAGTGGGGAGAAAAGAGAAGACAGATTAGGGCATCTCTTCTAAATCTCCATAAATTGAAATGAACAAAGAAACACTTCTGATGGCTGTGCTGGCTCATCTTACAATCATGTCAGAACATTTCTACATTGTCCTAGTATGCTGTCAAGAAAACCTGGTATATCTATAGTTCCTGCACTGCCACATTCACTTACAGCCACCATGTCAAGGCTTAAGGAATATGTCAGATGGTGACAAACTATTAATGAGCATTTATGTACAGACAGTTGAGAAGCAGTAAATTCAAGTGATCTGTTTTGGTCTCTTTTTCCCCATAAAACAGGAAGGGGAACAATTTGGCTTAAAATTGACTGGGAACCTACATAAGTAAAAATATTCCAATACAAAATTGGGCATTGATAATATTGTGAAATAAACCTCAATATCAACAAGTAAGAAAATCAATCAATTAAAAAATGTGTTAGGGTTAAGGATGAAGCTCAGTGGTACAGCAATTGCCTAGCATGTACGACACTCTGGGTTTAATCCCCAGTACCTCAAAAAGGGGTTGGGGAGGTTTACTGGCAATAATGCTTATTAATACACCTCAGCATTGGCAATGGGTACATCTCTAAAGTAGTACTAGGAGTGATGTGATCAGAAACAAAGTACAAAGGAAAAGCAGATCATGAGCTAGCTGTTGAGTTCCCACAAGATGACTGTGAACATTTCTGGGGGCCCATAAGTGGGGGTTTGTTCTTAATTTTAAGTATTGTCTTATAGTCTATGAAATTTGGTCGAGGGCAGCCTAGGACATCAACAAACTAATAGGTCTCCTACAGGGAGATATAAGGGCAAATCTTGGTGCTCCCATGTGCTTCAGTTGAGGAATACCAGTTGAGAACAATGTGGGGCACATACAGATTACTGTATCTAAAAGTTAGATTTAATTATGCACACTTAGAACTAAGTAAATGTTTCTTCCTTCACTTTTTCTTGTTTTTGCAAAGATGGCCCCAAAAGCTCATGTGTTAAAGGCTCGGTTCCCAGCCTGGCACTATTAGGAGGTGTTGGAGTCTTAAGCAGGTGGGGCCTAGTGGGAGGTCCTTGAGTCAGTGGGGAGGAAATTGACCTCTCCTTCTTACTCTTTTGTTTCCTGGCCATGAGTTGAACCATTTGTTCTGCCGCTTACTCCCTGTCATTACCACCTAGGACCCCTACCAGAGGCCTAAGAGAAATGGGTCGATTCAGTCATGGGTGGGAACCTGTAAAGCTATGAACCAAAATAAACCTTTGATCTTCATAAGTTAAGTATCTTAGAGGTATTTTATTACAGTGACAGGGTTCTATGAGTGGAATTCAGCCTGAAAAAGTTTTTGGCTGGCACCATGTTTTTAAAAATTTTGAAGGTCAGTGTCTTTAGATGGTACTGCCTCTCATCCTTCTTCTGCCTGCTCCTTCAAATGCATGTATGCATGCTGTTTTCCTCATTATTGCTGCATTATAATCACGGGCTTCTGTTCTTTTCCTGCGATGATGCAACTGTGAGAGAAAACTTCTTCCTCCAATGATAATTTTAGCCAATAAAAGATTTTTTTAGGGTGCTCTCCTCATTGAGTTTTTCTTTTCTTTCTTCCTTGTTTTTTTTTTTTTTTTTAATGGGCTGCTCTCTAGTTAATTCATGGTCCAACCAAATCTCATGAGTGGTCTGTCAAGGTGGACAGCAGGCAGCCATCTGCATTACCTTGGATTAAATCTCCCTGTCAATCAGGAGCAGATGGCAGCCATATTATTTACCTACTTGTACAGGGAATGGCTGGGTTCTGAAGCTCTCATCCAAGCAAACTAGCAAAATACCTGTTTCTACAATTTTTCACTTCAGTAATAAAGAATATCAGGAAAACCTTCACCCTTCCTTCCCCCCTAACTCCCAGAGAAAGAGACCTTCAAAGATATACTGGAACTTGTGCTGCTGAAGGCTGGCGCTCATGGCCTCTTCGATGGCACTTATGTCTTTGTTGAGCTTGACCACCAGAGGGTCATAATCCATACTCTCCACGTTGGCGACAATGGCATAGTTCCCCTCCTTTGCCAGAGGGATGAGATAGTGGAAACAGTGAACTCTGAAAAAGAGAAAGATGAGAGTAGCTAATAATAAATCTTTCCAGTGAAGACAATGATCTTGTGACAGAGTACCAAAATATTTGAAGCGACAGTGGCTTCATAAATTTTTATGTACTTCCCTGCCAACCTTTTTTTTTTTTGCCAGAAAGCAATTTTAGTTTTTCTGTAGAATAGCTGAATGATCTGGAGCAAAGTGGGCTTCTAAGGTCTTTACTGATCCATACAGTGTTGATAAGGAATAAAGGAGTTCTGCAAGTCTTTTCAATGCTAGGATTGCATGTGAAATGTGGAAAGCATTATATTTGTCAGTACAGGTTGAAATGGAAATGTCAGAGGTCACAGATCCCCAAGTGTAGGTTTTGTTGGGAAACTACTGGTTTTGATACCCAGTTCCAACATTTGCTGACTTTAGGCAAGTTACTTTATCTCCCTACGCCTCGGTTTCCTTATCTGTGAAATGGGGATGATAACCCCTACTTCACGGAGTACTACATATAAAGTATACAGCACAGTGCTGGGAATGAGGGAAACGCATAGTGAAGTCTTGGCTATCATTACTAGCTGTATGTTTATCATTGCTAATGTGTTATTTAAATACCTGCTTACTGGGCATCTATGAACTTGTTAGAAATTGAGCTAGGCCCCTGGGAACACAAAGCAGTTTGTGTCCTTAAACACACCACAGCCTACTGAGGCAGAAGAAGAAGAAAAAAATGCCTCATAGGGGACACATGTCATTGAAAGCCCATCAACCTGAGGTGCCACAGAAAGTGACCCTGGGGTACCAGGAAAGGGTCACAACAGGAAGAAATACCTGAGTCTCAAAATATGTCTGAGTGAGCCTGGGAAGAAGGGTATTTCTTGGCTGAGCTGGTCTGAGTCAGTTTGGACATGGATATCCTTAGCTTCTTTTGGCTGATGATAGTGACAGTTGGAGATATCTGAGGTGGGTGAGGACTGGCTCTGTCCCTTAGCCTACTTAAATTGTAATGAAAGCAAGTGCCATTGGATTCTGCCTCACACACAGGAATTTCTTTTGAATAAACTAAAACACCAAATCCAATCCGTCCCCCCAAACCCCCCAAATCAATGCCACGCATTGGCAGTATAGTTTAAACAGTCTGCTTCTGTAAATTCAGAAAGTCCTAACTCTCCACTGCATTAGGTGCTTTTTCTGATCCTTCATGATCTTGTTGGCTGGAAGTGACATGAGGTTAAACCAGAGTTAGGCTGCCATGACCCAGGGATTTGGCATCAGATATAAGAAGCATTCCTAATGAAATGGTGGCAAAAGCCCAGGAAATCATTCCCAAAGATACAACTGTAGGCTTTGCCTGTCATATTTCTTCTTTAAAAAAAATTTTTTTTAGTTGTAGAGGACATAATACCTTTATTTTATTTCTTCATTTTTGTGGTGCTGAGGACTGAACCCAGTGCCTCACACGTGTGAGGAAAACGCTCTACCACTGAGCCATAACTCCAACCCCATCTTTCTTTTTAAAGGTTTATTGAGAAATAATTTACAGTAAATTTCCCTTTCAGTGTACAGTTGTATGAGTTTTGACAAATGCATCTAGTAGCATAAGTACCACCATACAAATTCCCTCTGTCCCTTCGCATGTAATTCCTACTCAGACACCACTGCTCTATGTTCTGTACCTGTGGTTTTGTCTTCCTCAGAATGCAGTCAGACAGCATGTAGCCTTTGAGTTCAGCTTCTTTCATTATGCACAGAGCATTTATTATGGTTTGGATGTGAGGTGTTCCTGAAAAGTTCACATGTGAGACAGTGTAAGAAGGTTCAGAGGAGAAATGATTGGGTTGGAAGAGTCTTTACCCTATCAGTGATTTAATCCCCTGACAGGGATGACTGAGTGGTAACTAAAGTGGTGGGGTGTGGCTGGAGGAGGTGGGAGCTGGGGCATAGGCATAAATTTGTATCTGGAGAGTGGAGTCTCTCAGCTTTCTGATCGCCACATAAGCCTTTTCCCTCTGCCACACTTTCCGCCATGTTGTTCCTGTCTCACCTGGAGCCCTGAAGAATGGAGCCTGCTGTCTACAGATTGACACCTCTGAAACTGTGAGCCTCAGATAAATTCTTCCTCCTCTACACTTGTGCTGGTCGGGTCATTTAGTCACAGCTGCAACAAAGCTGACTGAAACAGCATTTGTGATTTATCTTGCTGTGTTCACTCATTGTCATTGCTGAGCAGTCTTGCACTGAATGGCAGGAGGTATATCCATTCACTAGGTGACACCGAGATTATTTCCAGCTTGGGACGGTCATAAATAAATCTACCTAATGTACAGGTTTTGTGTAAATATAAATTTTCATTTCTCTTGTTGCACAGCCAACACCAAAATGCAGTTCCAGCTGCTCTGCATCCTTGCCAGCACTCAGTGTGTCAGTTTTTAAACATTTTTTTTCAGTCATTCTAATAGATGCACTGTGGAATCTCTTTGTGGCATTTATTTGCATTATCCTAATGACTAATGATGTTGAGCACTTTTTATGTACTGATTTTTCATCCAATTATCTTTGGCAAATTACATATTCACATCCCTTGACCATTTTTTTTTTTAAGTTGGGCTGTTTGCTATTAAGTTTTGAGGCTTCTTTATATATTCTGGAAACAAATCTCTTATGAAGTGTGCATTTTGCAAATATTTTCTCCCAGTCTTTGGCTTGTCTTTTCATCTTAAAAATGTCTTTCAAGGAATGGTTCTTGGGCTGGGGATGTGGCTCAAGCGGTAGTGCACTCGCCTGCCCGAGTTCGATTCTCAGCACCATATACAAACAAAGATGTTGTGTCCACTGAGAACTAAAAAATAAATATTAAAATTCTCTCTCTCTCTCTCTCTCTCTTTCTCTTAAAAAAAAGGAATGGTTATTAAATTTGATAAAGCTTGACTTACCATTTTTATTTTATATGTGGTTCTTTTGGTGTCATATTTGAGAAATCTTTGCCTAAACATGTTCACAAAACTTTTCTCCTATGTTTTCTTCTAGAAGTTTTAGGTTTTACATTCAGTTTAGACCCCTCCCCCTATTGAGGGGTGCTGGGGATCAAATCCAGGGCATTGTGCATATTAGGCACATGTTTTACCACTGAGCTCCACACCCAGTCTCTAGAATTCATTTGAGGTAAGTTTTGTGTGACATTCTTATATCCTATTCAGGCAAGGGAATCTAAATATCCTGATAAACTACTGTTCATTTTCACTTACAGGTGCTCATCAAAACAACTGCTAATTAAGTAATGACTAGTTTCATCAATAAAAACTCATCCTGACATTCATGTGCTAATTGACAAAGAGTACAGTTCTGATAAAAATGCCAGTAATGGTACTGGTCAGAGCCCCCTCTCAAATGTGACCTTTCTTATACAATGAAAAGTGAACAACCCTGGGATTCATGATTAGGGCAACGGATCACTACTGCAGTAGAAACTTCAAGGAAGTAGGACTTAGTTGAAATCAAAGCATGTCTGCTAAGGTATTTTTAAATTAAATTACAGTTGGCATAAAGCCAGTCAACAGGAAGACTGTGTTAAGAAGGCATGAAACAGTAGGCAGAGGATGGTTCTGAGCAATGGTGAGTGGTTCTTTCTTGCTTCACTGAGATCATGACTGAGGCATGAGATAAATCGGGAGAAAAGGACAGGAGGTCATCACAGGGTTTGGAGACCAGCTAGAGAGTCTGACTTTATTAGAAGCCACAGGGAGCCTTAGGAGAATTTTAAGAGATAAAATGGTATTATCAGATATGAGCTTTGGTAAGGCAACTCATGCATAGTATAAGAATGTGTTGATGATAGAGAATGGAACCAATCAAAAGTAGAGATACTGGTCAGGGAAGAATTGGAGGTGAGAATTTATCAGATCCTAAAGTGGTGGCAGAGAGAGAGAACCATTGTTCAAGGTATACATTTCTTCTTCCCAAATGATTAGAGGTGAAGAAATTAAAATAGTCATCAGTCAAATTCAAATAAAGGTTTTTTTTTTTTTCCTTTAAATTCTGGCATGTTGTTGCTAACCTTAACATGACTTTGGCATTAGGTTTTCTGCAAACACTGCTGATTACACAGCAGGATGGTTGATTTTCAGAAAGTGCACACTTAGGGTGCCAACAGTGATGGGCAGTTGCTGCTGAACCCACTCAGAGCCCTCTGGATAGTGAGGGAAATCAGCTAGTAAAGGTGACATTCTTGGCATCTTGGGCTCAAATGACAACTTAATTTTCTTCTTCTAAACTTCAAATGGGAAACAAAATTTTAACATTTTTTAATGGCTGCACTACATCCTTCAACTCTGGGGGGTGTCATCTCCCTTATGCCTCAAACTGTGGAAAGGGGCTATTTGGTGCTTAAATGTGACCCACAGTAACACAGATAAAAGTTCGAATGCTCTTTGGATGGGTTCTTTCACACAGCACTTGCTGGATTTGAGAACGTTTTTTGGTTTGAATTTTAAAATACTAAAGAAAAATATGGGCTATAGATATAAAGATTTTGGGGAGAATAAGAATAATTTTTGGCATTTGAAGTTGTTCTATATTTTTTGATGGCATATCCCATCACTTTATTTTTTTTACATGAATCTTTTTTTTTTTTTCCTTCCTTTCTATTCTTTCTGTGCTCTTTTATTACAGTGGCTTCTTGGCTAAAAGTGCCAGAGACAGAATCCAATGAGCCACTTCATCACACTAGCTCCTGGACAACAGGGCCAAGTGTTGATTCTCTTTCACAGGGTGATGGAAACAGCAAACATTAGCAGTACTGCACTCTCTTAAATACGAGCAAGGGACTTGCCAGTGGACAACTGTCTGAAAACAGAATCTATAAGTCAATTCATTTCCTTTAAAGAGCAGCAAATTTTGTTTGGGGAATTAGAACTTATTTTATCTAAGTGTGGTTTCAAAACAGATAATTCTTAAAAATCATTCATACTTTTACTGAGCACCTAATATGCAAGAAGACTGATTCAGGTTCTGGGGCCGTCCACAATGGTGGATGAACTGATGGTCTCTCCCACAGCCTTGCACTCTGGGTCCCCAAGGAGCTTAGCAGATGCCTGTGTTCTGGCGTTATCACACAAGAGTGGTAGTGTAGGATTTGTCTTATTCATTTTGTATAACCAGTGTACAACCCCCCTCATTGCTAATGTGGTAGGATAAAGTGTGTTAACATTTACTGTCTGAGCCACACATGGAGTAATTTCCTAGCTTAATAAACCATAGTTTAAAAGGAACAAAGAAAAATGGAACAATAAAATAAAATAAATAATAAATAAAATAAAAATAAAATAAAAAATGGAAAAATAAAAACAATCTGAATGTTGAAATCATGTTATAAGAGGAAATGTGTAAATTTAATTTAGAAAAAATAAATATGTGTAGTGTTTGCAAAGTCAAGGAAAGACAATTCTGCATTCAGGATTCTAAAATCCAGTCTTTTTTGTTATTCAGCCTAAAATTGCGTTTCTCTGTTTTTAAACTAAAGTTGAAGGAGATACGGCAGAGTGTTATAGCACTATATGGTTTCTTGTAAAGTTAATAAATAATGGCTAACACATGTTCAGCATTATAGGAATAGTATTGCCAAGATGTACAGAAACAAAAAGGACAGAATAGAGGTTAAGGATTTAAAAGATTTCACTCAAACGTGTTGAAAATATCCCACTTGGAATTAACTACACTTCAAGTAAGAAATTCAGAATGTAGAACACGTCCCGCCACCACACAATCAATAGCATAAATTCCAGGAGTTGTGAGAATAATTAATTTGGTGTTCCCTTGTTTTTCTTTGTAACTCAGGTAACAGAGGCATCAGAACATTACTGGGTGTTTTTATCCCCCTTTGACTATTGCATTTATCTATTCATAGAAAATGCCTGACTTACTTCACTATCAGCATGAAAATAAATAGAAAACAAATCTAAAAATTATCATAAAATAAATCAAAAAACATATAGCAAGAGCTTTTATTTCTCAACAGGTTAAAGTAAAAAATAAAATCAGAAATAATGCTGGGTAAAATAGATCCCAAATCTGCAATGCTACTTCTTTTGTTCCACTCACAAGTTGCTTATAAACAATAAAGGAGTAAGTCATTGGCGAGATAATGAAGAATAAAAAAAGCAAGTGGCACAAAAAAGAAGTGATAGGAACACATCTGAAAGACACCCAAGGTATAATTTGAGTCTAAGCATATTCCAAAGATGTTACTATGAACCAAAGTCCTGTTTACATTTTTAAAACCTAAATCTAGTAAGACTTCAAATAAAAAGAAAATATTCTATTGATTTTAATAATGCTCCAAAGTAAACAGAAGAAAAAGTATCACCCTACAGTGTACTTTCTGGTCCTCTGAGGTTTTTGATCCTGAAGTTTCACAAGTATGCATCTGTCTACTTGACACTGTCACCTGTTTAATGAGCGTCTCAAACTGAGTATCTTGAGAAAGGAATTCTTGGTATCATCCCTCCCCCACCCTTTCTCCTTCTTTGGTCTTTCACTTCAGGTAATGGCTCTGGCATCCACAATATTGCCAGGCCCCACACTGGTGGTTTTCCGCGAAACCTTCCTTTCTCCTGCTGCTACCAGCAACTCAACCCAACCCAATCAATCGTCAATAAGTCTTTAGTATATGTTCCAAATCCAACACCTCTTACAACTCTACCTCTGCCACTTCAGTTCTCTTAACGGGTCCCAACTGGCCACCTTACTTCCATTCATATTTCTCCCTCTAATATCTTTTCCAAACAATAGCCAGAGTGATTTTCTGTTTGTTTTGGTACTGGATATGGAACCCAGGGTCTTGCACATGCTAGGCAAGCTTTCTATCTCTTTTAAACATGTTAATGAATTAACATCTCTCCCCTGCTTAAAACTCTCCTGTGGCTTTTTAGTACCCGCAGAATAAAATCTGAATAATTTACTTGGCCTATAAGCTGAGGGTGAGGTTCTGTGATCCCATAGGGTCAGGTTCCAGCCTGTCACTTGGACCTTATTCTTCATCATTCTACAAACATGTTGGGCTTCTCTCTGTTTCTCAAAATGGCCAAGCTTGATTTTGTCTCAGGACCTTTGTAAACGTTATTCTGTACTCTGTCTGAAATTTTCTTCCCCTAAGTTTTTGTTCGAATGGCTTTTTCTTGTCACTTTGTCACATTTCCTCTGACTACTTAATCTAAAGAAAAAAATTCTCTTTCTACTCAACCTTGTAATTTTGCAACATCCAGTCTGCTCTGGCCACATGTGATCACCGAGCACCTGAAATGTGACTAAAATTGTAATATGCTACAAATGCAAAGTATGCAGATTCCAAAGCCTTAGTACAAAAAATGCACAATAACTTATTAATCATTTTATGTTAATTACATGTCAAAATACATTGGATATAGTGGGTTAAATTAAATATATGATTATAATTAATTTTACCTATTTCTCTCTGTTATTTAAATGTGACTATACGTTGAGTATTTCTTATCTGAAATGCTTGGGACCAAAAGATTTTTGGGTTTTGGAATATTTGCATAGACTTTACCAGTTGAGCATTGCTAATTTGAAAATCCAGGATATGAAATGTTCCAAAATCAAAGGAGAATTTTGCATTCTGTATTTCTGCATTGAGGATGCTCAACTTCATTAGAAAATTTAAAATTATCTATGTAGCTCACATCTTAGTTCGTATCATCTTTTTGTTGAATAGTACTGATTTATCCCATTATGTTATTTTATGACTATAGTAGCACTTATTTGAAATTGTCTTTTTAATCTAATCTTGACTGTTTCCCCTGTCAGAATGTAGTTCTATGAGAAGGAACCTTGAGTTTTATCCATTGCTGTAACCAATTTTTAGAACACTGCTTGGCACAAAGAAAGCACTCAATAGATACCTGTTCAACAAATAAAAAACAACTGAAGACTTCTTAGTCCTCCTTCCTCCCACTTCTATATGCCTAAAAATAGAGGCTGCCAAAGTCAATCAGAGTATTCCTCACTTCAGGGGGAAGAACAGGGACAAGAATATACCATATTCGAAATAATATTCTTCAATTATTATTTAACTTAATCTCTGCATTTGGATTTTAAGTACCTTCAAGAAGTAGATCATAGTTCCTGATTCTGTAACTTCCTTCATGACTCTCCCCTTCAGGAAAAATATCAATGATAATATAGTCACCCTAAATGCAAAGCTACCACATTTGGAGCACTTCCTGTGTAGCAGGCATTCTGCTCAGTATGTATTATTTTGCTCAGAAAATCTCTCTAGATTAGGAATTACCATTTCCAGTTTTAGGAAGAGAAAACTGAGGGTTTGTAAAGTTAACTAGCTGACATGAGATCACCTACCCAGGTGGCACTGACATTCAAATCTGAATGTCAGATTTCTGACTATATGGGCCACGCCGATGTTGGAACATCATACAATACAGCATGTGGTCAGTTAACTTCAAAGTGACTGAATAACACTAAAAATCATATTCATCATCAAAAAAAGGACAACATCAACATAAGAACCACAAATTATGGTGATACCCCACCTGAAACACACAAGTGATTATAAATAATAATGTACTGCCACGGCAAAGTCCTACGTTTGGCTGGCCATACCTCACTTCCAGATGCAAGACTAGCAAGCAGCGGTCGGCCATATCCTGGAAGGACTTGGCGAGTTCACTTAGAGTCTGCATGATCTGCTCGGACACTGGGGGAAGGTCCATGTTCACGTGACTCTCTTGAGCAGGAGAAAGCACTGGAAGAAGAGGTGAGGACAAAACATTAATGGTCTCATTAGATGTCTACAGATGTTTCTGGAATATATCTTCCTTTGTTGTTCATATTCTTGTTTTTACTAATTTGGCGACTGTTAGTTTTGAGAGCAACAGAAGCCCAAGATATACTAGACTATTTCTGTACTTGGTTAAACATAGAAACTATTAAACACAGAAGCCACTGTCTCCTATCAGTTCATAGAATAATAGAAACAGGATCTCAGAGTTGGAAGTGGCCTTACTGGTTGTGTGGATGGACCCATGGTTTGTACTGTGTTTTCTGTACCTCTTCAAGTGGCTGACCAGCTTCTGGCTGCAGGCTCACACAAATGTTTGTGCAAAAAAACTCAATACTTTCTGTAGTAGCCTATTGCACCTCTGAAATATCTGATTATCTAACAACAAACCAAAATATGTCCTCATTAACTTTTCATCTTTGGCTCTGATTCCATCTTTTTACAATCCATGTCAGTGCTTCAAGTATTGAAAATCTCTCTTTTGACTTCTTGAAGTCTTCTTCCCTATTCTAGGTTAAATGTCCCCAGTTTTTCAGTCATTTGTCAAATGACCGAATCACATTATAATTCTCAAATTTTACTGACAAAAACTTTCTAGTAGATCTATATCTCCCTTGAAATGTGGGACTCAGGATCAAGCACGATAAATTCCATAGATGGGCATGACCTGCCTAGACAGAATTATCAATTCTCTTCTGAGATGCCTTGCCACTTGTACTGATGCCTAAAATCTGGGGAGGGAAACTCATATAGCTTATGGCCAACTAAGGTCTTCAAAAGATCTTTTTGGAAACATTGGTAGAGCTACCTTCTAGATCTTTCCACAATAATTTATGAAAATATTTAACCGCATTTGAACATTTTCTTCAGGAACATAAATCCAGAAGTGTGAAGTATATTTATTTCCAAAGTTCAGTTGTATTTCCAGCTCCTCTCAATTTCTCAAAGATCACCAACAATAATCTGGCAATTATTCAAATTATCCTTTGCAAATTTCTCTTACTTCTCTGGAGCTTCAAAGGTTGGTTTTGAATCCTGTCTCTACTACTCTCTTTATATAACCAAAACATAATTACTTACATTCTCTCTGCCTTAGTTTCTTTTGTAAAATGGGGAAAATAGTACCTATGTTATAGGGTTAAATGGATTAATATAGGTAAAATATGTAATAGCATATAAAACTTACACCATATTGAAATAATTCAGAAAAATAAGCAATTATCATTCTCTATCCTGTTATTTCTCCAGATCATATTAAAATGAATTTTAGCTACAAATTCCTTACAAAATAATTCCATCTGTCTTGAAGTTCAATTCCCATCAAAATTTTTTGATTTTCTCTCTGAAAATCTTCTATATCAGAGGATGTGAAGTCCTTTGGAAGACGGGCTCCCTGGACCAAGGACACATGGGATCTGGTGAGCCATCACTGACTAATTGGACAGTAGCTTCCCTTATAGGGAAGGGAGCCACCCTCTGGCTATCACAGTGAGAACTGTCATGGCCCTTCAGTGCTGTCTCTATTCCTAGAATGGGCCAGGTCCAGACAAGGGCCTGGATAGATAATCCAGATGTATAACTTATAAAGCTAAGTTATCTCCCATGGAACCAGACTCTAAATCTAAATAAATCAAAATTATATGGAAAACACAAAAAAGTGAACATTGTTCAAGGGAGCTGACCTGTAGGGAAGAAGGAATGTAGCAATGTGGATTTTAAATTATTCCCAGGCTTGGTTTCATCCTAGATATTCACTAACTCTACCTGCTGGAAACTGGATAGGAAAGACACTGCATCCCCCCTCTCTTAGGTCAACATTGTTCACGTCTGATTATAAGGCAGGATCACTGCCTTCACGATGTTTCATGTGGCAGGCAAGGCAAAAGCAACTGTAAATAACATTGTTGTAATATTTCAAGGCATGAGACAGCCTTTCAAACCCTGGATTCCTCTGTCATGTGACACTAAGATGTGACACTAACTGGGGCATGTAGAGTTAGTTACCTAAGTATCAGTAAGAAGAGGCAGAAATCAGACCCTGCAGTTTCACTTGTGGTCTGAGGTCCAAAGCTATACTAATTGATCAGACTCTATCAAAGATAACCTGAACAAAACCTAAGTAGAAACTAAAACATTTCCCTTTCCTACAACAGAAAGATGTAATTTCATCATGTGGCAATTGACTACTGCCAAACTACAAATATAAGAAAAATCCAAGTGGAGTAAGTCAACAGCATGTTTAGCTGCCAAGGTAATTAACTGATTTGCAATGAGCAAGGTAAGAGCAGTTTTGAATAGAGGCACTACATTTCATTTGACTGTAATCTACAGCAAAAATAAAACATTTTATTAAAGCAACACAAAAAATTATGCCCAGAGCTCTATTGAAAAGCTGGTTTATGAATTCCTGAGGGCTTACTGAAATTTACGAAGGGTTCTTAATAAGAAGGAATATATTGAGCAAAGAAATGCTGAGCATGGAAAATAAAGACAACACAAAATAATTAACTAGTTCTTAAATGTCAAATGGAAAGCTACAAAAAGGCAATGCTGACAGAATCTGGGAGATTACAGTCAAAAAATGAGATTAGTGGATATACACACACATCACATACACATACACACACACACACACACATAATTGCACATATCCTTTTAGCAGCTACATGATTCCATATTTATCTCAGGGATTGATCTTCACATCAGCATAGTCCATATATATTAAGTTATGAATATATTAGCACATGATTTTTTAAAAGACATGCACATAGAGTAACTTTTCTAATATTGGGGATGGGTGACATCAGATCATTCATATCATTAGTCTTTTTACAATCACTGAATGCAAGCTAGTTGTTCATGGCAAGGTACTATGGCTTCCTGTACTAAATTGATTGGTTTATACGAGGAGGCTGAACCTTGGTCTCTGAAGCAGACATTTCTTTTTGGGGGAAACAACAGGGCATTTCCAATTCCCTTCTCTCTTGCTCACTCTACTTTAGCCTCTGGCAAGTGTACTATTCCCATTGTCATCCCTGTTTGTAGAAGTTACAGAAAACTCTACTTAGATAACTAGCTAGACTGTGACATGTGGTCACTTCTAGCTAGTGATCTAAGTAGAGTTTTCTGTAACTTCTAGAAAGAGGACCCCCATCCTTGGGGCTGGGGATTAACCCCTCTACCACTATCACCACTTGAGTGTTCTACTACATTTCCAGCCTTTTAAAAATAATTTTTTAAGTTTTGAGACAGAGTCTCATTAAGTTGCTCAGGCTGGCCTTGACCTTGTGCTTCTACTGCCTCTGCCTCCTGAGTACTGGGATTACAAGCCTATGCCATGGCACCTGGCTAGGAAGGTTTTTGTTTTTCTTGATAAGAGGAGAGAACTGAGGCTGGTGCTACTCCTTTCTCTCCTGCTTTTCATTTTTCTGACTGAGAGGGAAAGACCGATAATCAGAAAGGTGCAGGTCTTATTGCTGAACCACTGGCCAAGCCTAGTCAACTGCTCACCTTCAGATTGCTTGTTCTATTAGGAAAACAAACACCTCTTAAAACTACTGCAAGTTCAAAAAGAAACAAAACAGTAATTTGCTGCCAAGTGAAATCTTGTTTTTGCCTCTGAAATTTTAAGTACTAGGATCATATTCTGAGATGAAAACCTCCTTTTCAAGCTCTCTCATACCTCGTTTCCACTATCTCTGCTGTTCAACTTGAACTCTGTAATCCCCCCATTTTCTCCTGGTAGATGAGGTCCCTCTGTGGGTCCTCATCATGGAGAGCTTGGCTGATCCTCTGTGCTGCTCTTTTATCAACTCCCCTGAATCCTCTCCTTTCACATAAATGCCCTAAAACTCCATTTAACCCTGGGTCAGTTCTACAACTAACTTCTGACAGGAAAACCAAAGTACAGAGTTTTGCCAATAAGATGTTCTGGGTTTCAATCTCCACAAAGGGTTTCCACATCACTTGCCAGTCCTCTCACCATTGCTTGGCCGCATCTCCCTTTCTCACTAATCTTTCTACATTCAGGCTGTTCTCCTCAGGCCCTCCCCTTCACTTCTCTCATGAGAACCTCAGACTCATAGTAAGACTTCAAAAGAATTGTCAGCACTGGCTTTCTCCACAGTCCGCCTTTCTATTAACTGCTCTGTGTGCCACATTATCTGATTTTGATCTCTACCTCTTTCTGAAAAAAAAAAAAAAAAATACAAAAGTGCTTTTTAACACAAGCCCTGATGGGAGTTTTGGTTACTATAAATCATAGCTTTCTTAAAAAAAAAAAAAAAAACTACTGATAGTGCTTGTTAGGGTTTGGATCTGAAATGCCCCCCAAAGCTTATGTGGCTTGGTTCCCCAATACCCCAATGTCTAGAGGTGGTTTGGGGAAAGTGATTAGAAGTGATTAGATCTTAAGGGCTCTGACTTCATTGGTGGATTAATCCACTGATAGCTTAATGGTCGGCCGGGAAGTGGTGGAAACTATAGGCGGGTAGGGCACAGCTGCAGGAAGTAGGTCACTGGGGGCTTGTCTCTGGGGACTATACCTTGTCTCTGGCCCCTTCCCCTCTCTTTCTGTCTCTGCTTCCTGGCTGCCATGAGCTGAGCAGCTTCCCTCTGCTGCTCCCTTCCTTCGTGATATCTGGCCTCATCTTAGGCACAAAGCAAGGGAGCTGGCTGACCATGAACCGAATCCTGTGAAAGTGTGAGCCAAAGTTAAATGTTCCACCTTTAAGTTGTTATGTCAGGCATTTTGGTCATGTTAAAGAAAAACTGACTACCACAATAATCAAGGATGTTCTAATTGCAAAACGGGGTGTTTTCCAGTCCTAGTCTCTTAAAAGCTCTCTGCTACATGTGACATCACTGGCCATTTGCTTCTTGAAATTGTCTTATTTTGACTTATTTGGCTGTTCTTTGACTTCTCTGACATTTCCTTTATAGTCTCCTTCACTGAATGACCTTCC